ACTCCAGCCACACTGGCCCTTCATGTTGCCCGCCCCTGTCCCCAGCACCTATAACTCACAAAGTTGATTCCTCCATGACTATCATTCTCTCTTGTATGTCCCAGGGATGAACTTCAAGAGTCACCTCCACCTCCACATCTTCCATGATGCCTATTTGATTAAATCTGGCCAGAAGTAAGACTCCTACCTTAAATATAGAAACTTGCCTGATTAATTTTTTAACCTTGTTCCATAGTGGGGACTCAACAATAAATCGCTTATTAAATGTTTGAATATATGAACAATATACACGACTGCGTGAATCCATGAATATATGAGTACATCTCTTTAAATACCACTCGTTAATATATGAAAGCAATCCTTGAATTTACGGTATTCATTTAAGGTTGTATTCAGGTTGCTACTCTAAAAGTTCTTAAAATGGTACTTTTGAAAAAGAAAGACAAAGATTTCTGACTTGCACAAACATTTATCTACATCTAAGGTAGCTCAGGGAAGCAATCACATAATTTTCATACTCACAGATGAAAATTTTTATAGTGGTCATACAGGGGACATGAGAAACAGCGGGTCAAAATGAGCAGGTTTCCAGCATGGTGGGGAGGCTTTATTTAAAAGGAGTAAATTACGGTACTTGCAGCAGCTAAATTTTTCACCAACGTGAAACGAATAAACTCCTTCTGGAAATTACTCTTATGAAATTACTTCTTCCAGGACACTTAATAGTATATTCTAGTGCCCCTGAAAAATTAATTAACCTTACTCGTAACAACCTAACCCCTAAACCATCTGTGGTGTGTTTTTACTGGAGGTCAGCTTAATCTTCTCTACCTTAATTTACATCTAAGTGAGGGTGGTCTAAATTACACAGGGGACTTTCAGTTGCTGGTATTTTGCCTTGTGCCATTTCGTTAGATGACATTCTGCTCATGTCCAAAGGTATGAGTCTCTTTTAATATGGCAAACCTCTGAGATTAGCAGGGAGAACTTTTTAAGCAGCGGGTGCCGGGGGCTGTGTGTGGGGCCAACACTGCTGTCCTCATTAGGGGTTAAAACACAGCCACAATAAGAGGAATGTACTCAGGCTGTAATCCTACTCTGTTTACTTTTTCTGAGAAAGGCTAGATTTTCAGAGCCTCAGGACCACAGAGCTACAGGAGCCAGAATCTAGGACTGGATTGTAAGTCAACAGCAGGATTTACCAACCCACTCCCCCATTCTTTTCAAATCTAAATTTTAATTATTAATTTTTTTTTCTTTGAGACAGGATCTCACATTGTTCCATGCTGGAGTACCATGCCATGATCACAGCTCACTGCAGCCACAACCTCCTGGGCTCAAGGGATCCTTCTGCTTCAGCCTCCCGAGTACCTGGGACTACAGGCATGTGCCACCACTTGCAGCTAATGTTTTAATTTTCTTTTTTAGAAATGAAGTCTCACTATGTTGCCCAGGCTGGTCTCAAATTCCTGGCCTCAAGTGATCCTCTCACCTCAGCCTCCCACAGTACTTGGATGACAAGTATGAGCCACCCTTAGACTATCTTTTTTTTAATCCAAAAGATACCTAAAATTATACTCAAGTCATTATCCGGAGACAAAAAAAAGTTACTAAAAATGTCACGAGCATTGAGCTATCACTGGGACCTCTGGTTACTTGCTGTGGGAGCAAAATCCTCCTTTGAAGATTCTAGAATCTTAACTCTTAAGCTGTGGGTGTTTTATTTTTAAGGACAGACACATAGCATTGCTATTTCTATAAAATATTTCTGAACCAGCCAAGAACAGGAAAATATTATAAATAATAGTAATTATTTGGTGTTTTAGCAAACAGAATCATTAACACTTATTATTAATAATGATACACATATCAATGATGAGGAGGCAATGAACAGATACAAATACATTATGACACAAATAATGTGGAAAGAAAAAATATTTCCTCTAAAAGATAAAGCAACAGTATCTCTTTGTTTAAAAGATTGCTAATCACCCAAAAGTGTGTCCCCCACTCCCACTGCCACTGGCCCGAAGGGGCGATTCATCTTCCTTTGTTAGCTGCTCTCTGATAGGCTTTGTCCTCCCAAGTGTGCGCTGCTTTCTGTTAGAATTGATCACAGATGCGACAGTGATGAGGCCATCCTGGACACTAACAGCCACGGCGTAAATGCTTCCTTGTTCCCACCCAGCGCTGTCGGAGGATGGGATAGGAACAATGAGAGCTAATGATGCAACTCTGGAAGCTATCATTTTGAATCAGTCCGTGACTTACACCGCCCTTGTGAAAATCAAGCCAGGCTCATGCTCCATTTCAGGTTAGCAGGCCCAGGTCCACCCCGAGGCTCAGCAAGCCCAGAACAGACAGAAGGCTTTGGATCTCCATGTGGACATTGGATGCTGGCATGGCATAACCACCATCCAAGACATGCTCCAAATCACACAGGGGGCCACGGTGATTCAGGCCAGCCTTACAAGCAGCCACATGAGGCTGGCTGCAAAGACCCAGCCTTGCTTTCTGGCCAGTGTGGAACCAATTAAAGTCAGGGTCTCTCTCTAGAAATTCTCCCCACATGTACTTGGGGGGTAACCTTTCTGCTCAAATCCCAGATATGTCCTGGCTTCTACCACTCCATGAACTATTATGGTCTTATGATCAGGCTCTCAACCCTGTTGGCTTATCTGGGTCTTCTTATTCAGCGATAAGAAGTGGTCTTACCACTCCACGTGCTATTATGAGTGATTTAAAGCAATGACTAGGCATTATTTTTCACGAGCCTTTGGGTCAGATGGGTGGTTCTGGTTCTGCTAATCTAAGCTCAGCTCGGCAAGGCTCCCTCATCCGTATGCAAGAGAAAGCTTGCAGAGCCTAGCTTAGATTAGCAGAACCACCCATCTGACCCAAAGACTCATGAAAAACAACACATAGTTGTTGCTTTAAGTTCCACATTTTGAGTTGGTTTGTTACCCAATAATAGCTAACTGACACAGCTGGTTAGTCCATTTAGCTGAGAGCACAGTTTTTAGGGCAGACAATCATGAGGTTGGAAAGGTAGGCTAGGCCAGGCTGCAGAGTTGAGATGTTAAGTGGAAGACAGTGGAGAGCCACTTGGGATTTTTGAGCACGGCACAAATGTGATGAAACAGTACTCCAAAAGCTTTATTCTATAGTAGCAGGATGAAGATGAGAATAAAGCAAAGACAGTCAGGGAGGATGGAAAACCAGGAGAGGAACCCTCCTGACAAGAAAATGAGGGCCTGAACCATGCCAGAGGCGGTAGGTCCTGAGGTGTGAAAACTCTGCAGAAAGAGTTGAGTGCAAGACCACATGTAGATGGAGATAGAAGGTTGACAGTGGTTGACAGCTCCAAGGTTTTGAGCCTGAAAAGCTGAGAGGGTGACAAAAAAAAGACAGAAGAAAGCAGGAAGAGTTGGGGATGCCATGCTTGAGAAGTCCATGGAGTATTCAGGGCAAGGGAAGTTGGGGCTCTGGGAAATGTGAGGTGTAATCTGCAGATGCAACCCAGAAGGGGAAAATACTTTGAGAGTATTTTAAAGAGGTAACGATTAAAGGCATGAGTCTGAGCAAGAGAAGATGGAAATGTGGATGTATATTGTTTATTTATTGATGTGTAACGAATTACATCAAACCTAGCAGCTTAAGACTCAGAAGTCTGAAAACAGTTGAGCTGGGTGGTTCTGGCTAATGGTCTCTCACGAGGCAGCCATGAAATGCTGACCAGGGCCGTTGGCAGCTGAAGGCTTGACTAGGGCTGGAGAATCTCCTTCCAGGATGTCTCACTCAAGTGGCTGATGGCTGGAGGCCTCAGCTCCACACCACGTGAACAGTGTGGACAGCTGCTTGAGTGTTCTCATGACATGGCTGCCAGTCTCCTCCAGAGTAAATGACCCAAGAGAGAGTGTAAGGGACAAGTCTCGTGTCTTTTATGACCTGGATGTAGAAGTCACATACCCTCACTTCTGTATTCTATTAATCAGACAGACTGATCCTGATACGACACGGAAGACGGTTACACAGGGGCATGAAAACCAAGGGACAGGGACCATTTGGTGCATTCTTGGAAGCTGGCTGCCACACTGGGGTGGCAGAACAAGACAAGCAAAACTTCAAAAGATAAGAAGTTTGTTGGGAAGACGACTCCCACATGGGAAGAGATCAGGCTCTCAAACCTGTTGGCTCATCTGGGTCTCTACATAGGTCTTTGATCCCTTCCAGAACATCCTGCCTCCAGAACTGTCTATCTGGTAGAGGAGGAGCTTCTCTCCCTATTCTACCACTTTGCAGACTTCCCATGTACCAGGCAACATGCTAAGATTTCCCTGAGGTTGACATGATTGTGTCACTGTTTTAAAGGGAAGAAAACTGAGGCTGAAGTCTCCAGCCCAAGTTCTCATAGCCAATGTGATATGGAACTGGCCATGAACCCAGGTTGTTCAGCTCCAGGGTCCTCACTATTTATTTTTTGAGATGGAGTCTTGCTCTATTCCCCAGGCTGGAGTGCTGTGGCACAATCTTGGCTCACAGCAACCTCTGCCTCCTGGGTTCAAGTGATTCTCCTGTCTCAGCCTCCTGAGTAGCTGGGACTACAGGCATGCCCCACCACACCCAGCTAATTTTTGTATTTTTAGTAGAGACGGGGTTTCACCATGTTGGCCAGGCTGCTCCTGAACTCCTGAGCTCAGGTGAAACACCCACCTCCACTCCCAAAGTGCTGGAATTACAGATGTGAGCCACTGCACCTGGCGCAGGGTCCTCACTCTTAACCTCTCTGCCAACATGCCTAGAGAGCAGGGGCCTGCATGCTGCAGTTAAAACCTCCCAACAACATGAACCCACAGAAGCAACAGAGGAAATCTGAGGAATGTCCCAATGATGCCAAAGCACAGGCAGGAACGGGAAGCGGAAGAGACCTATGTTCATTGAGCCACTCCTCTGTGGCAGGCACAGTCCAGGTAAAGATGGAGAAACTGAGGCGTACTTACCATCCTTGGGATCTGCTTTGTTCTCAGTGGGCTGCTCGACAAACTTCAGCAGTGGGGATCTCGACCTCTGTGCACTAGGAAGAGTGGGGTCGCTGAACAGTATGGTGTCCTTTCCCCCTGTTGCGGAAAAGGGGAAAATGGATGCCTTATATCATCAGTGGAGCTGGGTTACATTTAGGCCCACACACTTAACTGGCGCAGGGCTGGCTGCCCACAGACACTACCATTGAAGGGAAGCCTGCTACGACTGCTGACATCCTCCATACTTCTTTACACTATTGCACCACCCTAGCCCTAGCCCTTGCACACACACACACACACAATCCTTATCATTAATTTAGTATTGAATTATAGGCCATTTCTTACTTTCCTCTCACTGCTTGATGTATATTCATCTTGCTTCCCTAAGTGGACCACAGGTTCTTGGAGGGGGCGATAAGCATTTCTAGAATGCCTGGTACAGAATTGAATTCACAAAGTCAATGCTCAAAAGGGTAACAACACATTGGTGGGCTATTACTGGAAGAGACACTGATTCTTCCCAGGTGTTGGTAAATGAGAGAGAGTTGGCAATTCTTTGATGTCACTGGAACTCTGCTCTCCAGTTGGCTAAACACTATGATTTGACTCCTACTTTGGGAAAAAAAGAGGAGGAGGAGGAGGAGGAGGGGGAGGAGGAGGAGGAGGAGAAAAAGAATGTATTGTGTCTTATTCCACCATTCAGTAGTTTAAATGGAGACACAAAAAACAATGAGCAGAAAGAACAGACTGATCTGATTTATACTAGAAGAGGCTCTTTTTCCCTTTACTTTCAACATGGTTTGAAAATATCATAACATGTTTCTTCATCACCACTGCAGAAGGTCAATGCTATTGCCATGACATAAACTGTATCAGATCTGGGGAGCTGCCACTCTTTCCTGTCCTCCCATTTTGTATCTATGTGGAGACCAGAGATTAGAACAAACAGGGCCACAGCATAAAATTCATTCAGCCAAGTCCCCAAAGCTAATTTCATCCTTTAATATTTGTTTTGTACTAATTGAATTCTCTATTTCAATTGACTATTCTAATCAGAAAAGTTCAAGGAAAGGTAGATAATGCATTTCTACTTATTTACATGCAGGGATGACATAATGCACTGCTGATATTAGCCACAAAAACAAGATATTTTAAACAGAACATACTCCCAAATCCTACTGAAACATTGTAGCTCAGGCCTTCAGGCAGCAAAAGGAAAAAAGGAAATAGTTGTTATTGCATAATAGCCATTTGAAGTTGTACCCAGACCAAACAAAACCACAGAAAATTCTCGGCATTTGTTCACTCAAGTAACTTCCATCTTTTAATATAAATTGTAGAAACAAAACAGTGAGAAATTTCACCAAGTCATTTTGAGAAAAAAAAAATCAAAACCCCCATACACGCACAGACATGGCAATCTCACTGTACAAATACATGATCAATTTGCCCAACTGTGTTGAAATTCAATGCAATAAAAGAAAGGCCTTCCTAGAAGATGAGGCTTTAACAGCATCAAAAGATTCTTGTGCAGAAATGGATCATTCAAATCCCCAGGACTGTACCCGGCAGTAATTAGTTCTGTTAGGTCTTTTGACGTCAAATTCAAGGAATCACTGCTAAAAATTCCAATTCTTGAAACACACATCCAGGCAACCGAAGGCAGTGATTCAGGTTTACATTTCAGAAAATGTATTGTTGTCCACCTGCCTCCCTGTGCTGACTTTTACTTATCGTCCATTCCAGGGAAGCACCCATATGATTCAAGGATGAAGGAGACTGGTTTGTGCGGAAGGTGAAGTAACTAAAACTATAGGTACAACATGGTTTCCAGGGAAAGGGGAGATGGTGGAAATGGTAAATACAAGTTTCTGAAGAGTAAAAAGTCAACGGGGAATGGCTGATTGGGGTCTCACAAAAGGAGTATTTTACCAAGACAAGTGGGATAAATATAGCTAATTAAAGTAGAACACCAGAGCTTCCAAATACAGTGTACAACTGGAAAAAAAAAACACAGGAAATTCAGATTTTCAGACTAAGTAAAAACGGGATGGAAGAAGGGAAGAGAAGGAGGTGGTGGAGTACATTTTGGGTTAGAAAAATTGTCGGTTTTTATATTCATTTTTAGTACTGGTGATTAAATTGGACAAATCTTTGTATGTTCTTAGATTCAATTTTAGGACTGGTGATTAAATCACACAAATCTTTATTAAGTTCTTGTATTAACTTTTAGGCTGATAATTAAATTGAACAAATTGAATAAATCTTTATAGGATATCTACAGATTAAAAGAAAAGAAACAATTCACTACATTCACAAAAGTTAAAAAAAAAAATAGATACAGTGACAATTTCAGAATTCAGGTTTGCTAAACTTCATAGTTCCACAGATGAGACCCTGAATATTTATTGCATTTTTCTGATTCTACCCCCAGCCTGCCACGTAGTTTCTAAATTTAGAACACTTGTAGATTTTTTTCAGCAATGATCTACTTTAAATAAGGTAGAATAAAAGGACTTCAAAAAGGTAGAAGATTCTTGTAAATTATGTGGGAGCTTCATTTCTTAAAAAAGGAAAATAGTTTTCATGAAGTTCTGTTTACCTGGAAGACTCCACAAACCAGAAACTTCCAGAGTTCTTAATTTTTTTTCCAGCTCAGCCACCCGATTCCCTAGGATTCTGAAAAAAGGGGAGATGACAGTCGATTACTGAGCCTCCTGTCAGCCCGCAGCCCTGGAAATCCCACTGGTGCCCTAGTAGAAAAGTTTTGAGATTTATGATATATGCTAAAAACAGAGCATTTGTATGTATGTGTGTAAATAATATGTGCTCTATTGCAAGTGCATATGCAAATAGAAAGTACATAAATGATTAAAAACAATACTCAAATACCATGAAAGTGAGCCCTCTCCCAAAAGGTAGTTTTCCTGGGAAGCTAAACAATGATTCCACCGCTGCCCATATCATTTGATGGAATCTCTATTTAAGAAATACTCATTGCAAAGAAGACAATAAATTTTGAATACCCTTAATAGTATCACACCTTGATTCTTTGAGGATGAATCTGATTTTTGGAAACAACCAGGTCTGAAAAATAAGATGGATGGACACGCTTGGTAATGTTGTTTTGAGTCAATAAATAATACCATCAGCCTTCTTAGACCTATGTCTTACTGATGTCCACATTCTTGATATTTAGCACAATGCCTGATACATGGGAAATATTTGATAAATATATTTGATTAAATAAATGCCTTTTTTTCATGACTCATAATTAGCTATGGGAAGAATGAAAAGAGATATTTCAAAAGAGTTTTCAGTAATTGCAGAATCATTAGAATAATTACATTGTTTTCCAAGGTGACCATTCTGAGTCACTAAGATATATAAATTCTAGAATGTGTGTATTTGAAAAGACCATAATGTTTACTTGGAAGCCAAACTCTTACTACATGCATGGATAGACATGTGGGCATACAGACTCCCACATCACTCTATAAAAAATTAAATATAGTTGGGAAATGATTTAATAGTCCTCTAAAACTTGAATCACTTCCCATTGGGCTGGAAATTGAAAAACCAGTCTTTATTTTATTTGGGGGATTTTCTTGGCACTGCTGTGCTAAAATAATGTGGAAATCACCTTAATAGCAAAGTTTCAATTCCTTTCAGCAAGATAAATCAGAACACTAGAATTATTCTCCTATCTCTCTTTATATTCCAGAGATAGCTACACACACCCACATACACACAGAGGCATGAATATGTATATATCTGCACATACATATGGCTGTGGATTCATCCTTGTTTTACCTGAATTGACTTGTATCATCTTAATTAATATTCCCTTTGAGTTCACAGAAAACTCAGGAATTACTCTATGTGGTTTTTTTCCATCTAGGTACTTAGAGCTTTTCTTCTTTGCCCTAAGTCTTAAAATTATGCATAGTCTTTACCAATTACTTTCCACTTTCATTCCATTTGTTGGGTCTCTTTTGCTTTCATGTCCTTGACCCTTCAATAGGCGCTATCCTTTTGTAATCTCACTTTCCATATTTTGCTCAGACCTTCTGATCCACGCTCCCTTTTTACCAGCTGATGAGTTTGAGATGCAATCACAACAGTGTTCAAGTTGATGCCTGTTTCTTAACGAGATCAGATCATCTGTAGGTGGCTGCTTCTTGGAAACAAAAGATAAGGCTTAACTCTTCCGTGGAGGTGGAGGAATGCCGTCTGAGCAGCATTTGAAGGTGTGGGGAAGAGATACTGGGGTATATTTTTTCTGATGTTTTGGGATAACACAGCCGTTTCTCTCAGAAATGGAACGAAGTGAATTTCCTGGTGTCCCCAGCAATCTACTTTCAGGGCCCCTGCCTAAGTTTGTCAGTGCTTTCTTCTCTGACCTGACTCTTATCAGCATCTGATGCAGGGCTGGAGGTAGTAAAATGGACTCAGTAGAAGTTATGACAGTAGGAATAATAACAAAAGTACCACCACCACCAATAGCAACTGTGTTACTGTTAACACAAACAACTAATCTTTCCTGAGTCCTTAACACACATCAGAGGCCATGCTGAACACTCACCTCATCTGTGTTACCTCATCTAACCTGACAAAAACCCTGTGGTATGCATGGTATTGTTATACTCCTTTTACACGTGGACCCTAAGGAACACAGAGGTTGGGCAACTTGCCCAAGGATGCACAGTTTATCTCAAAGTTCTCTTTCCCCAGCCCGCAGCAATCTCATCCACCATACTCCCCTCTTCCCACTAGGAAGGTGAGGAACAGAAGTTAGTTAACTTGACCAAAACCATAAGCAAGACTCAGCTGGTGGTGAGACTGTATTGGAAAGTAAGCCTGGACTTGCTTCTGAAGCACACGCTCTTAACCAATGCCCCATAATGGCACTTTAAAACCAACCTTGACACATTCTTTCTCATGTCTGCATGAAGTGCTCCTTAAAAACTGTTCATGTTGAAACATGGATGTGGCCGCAGCTGCCTTGCAAAATACAAGCCACAATGCTTCAAATGGCAAAGAGGATCTCTGTTAGCTTCACCCTGAAAGAACGTGGCAGGGAATCCACTGAACCTGGTGTGACGCAGCCCAGGGAGAGAAGAGGGGCTATTTACGTCTTAGTAGCCGGCAGCATGGATAGGTGGAGAGAACAGCAGGAGCCGAGTCCATTAAATTCAGTTTGACCAATGCAACAAACATTTCCTGAGATCCAGCTCTGTAAAGCACTGTGCTACAGGCTGTAGGGGATAATGAGGAGAAGGAGACCCTGTCCCTGCATTTGAGAGACTAAGCGTCTGGTGGGAGACTGACTGATGCATACACACAAAAACACACATGGACAGTGCAGTGGAAAGCTTTAATAACAGCTGGTATTTGTTAATCACTTGCTGTATACCAGGTATGCACACACACTCCCTTGGTGTCCTGCAACAACTGATGTGTCAGCTCTTGTTAGCCTTATTTTGTAGATAGGGAAACTGAGACTCAGAAAGGTCACTTAATTCACCCAGGCTTACACAGCTAGTGAGCAGAGGGGCCAGGCAAAAACATGGGCTTGAAAATACACACATGCTTATTAAAACTGTAGAGCAGAAATGAAGAGCTACGTGGAAGATGAATCGAGAGAGACCAGTAGGAACCCAGACCATGAATGACCTATCTGCCATATTGACAGCATTCAGACTTTTCTATATTGGCAATGGGGACAGAGTGAAGAGGTTTTTTGTTGTTTTGTTTCGTTTTGTTTTGTTTTGTTTTTTAAGATACGGAGTCTCACTCTGTTGCCCAAGCTGGAGTGCAGTGGCGTGATATCAGCTGACTGCAACCTCTGCCTCCTGAGTTCAAGCAATTCTCCTGCCTCAGCCTCCCAAGTAGCTGGGACTACAGGTGTACGCTGCCACACCCAGCTAATTTTTTTTGTATTTTAGTAGAGACGGGGTTTCACCATGTTGCCCAGGCTGGTTTCTAATTCCTGAGCTCAGGCAATCTGCCTGCCTCGGCATCCCAAAGTGCTAGGATTACAGGTGTGAGCCACTGTGCCCAGCTCAGTGAAGGGTTTTAAGCAAGGAGGCAGCATGAGGAAGTTTAGGCAAAGTATTCTTGATGCCTAGTTGAGAATGGAGTGGAAGGAGTGTGAGTAGAAGCAGAAAGATCAGTTAGAAGGGCATTGTCCAGGTGGGATTGATATGGTCTAAATCAAGCCAGTGGGGATGCAGGGGTGCTACAGGAATGGGGCAATAACGAGGAGGTAGATGAGCTTGAGATGCCTGTGGGAGATCTGTGCAGACACACTGGACGCAGGAAGAAAGGCAAAGATCTGAGAGTGCAGGCTGGGGGAGCGGAGTCAGTAGCTCACCACCAGAGGATGTGAAGTCAGAAAGAACAGTGGAGGGGGCAGAGGAGAGCCAGGACAATGTGCCACCTTGGAAGCCAAGTTGAGAGGGGTGCAGATGAGAAGCGTGGTCAATATTGTCTTATTCTAGAAAGCGGTCACACCGGATGGGAGTTGAGAAGAGGCGGCTTAGAAGATGTGCCTGACACTTGAAGGAGGAATGTTTCGGGACAGTAGAGGGGATGAAATCCACAGTCCAAGGGACTGGGCTGAGACAGAAGCAGACTCTGGGAAAAGTGAATATAGCCGACTCTTCAAGTAGCTTAGCAGGGAAAAGCAGGAGATAAACGGCAGTAGCTCGAGGCAAACTCAAACTTGAGAGAGGTTTGGGGTTTTTTTGTTTTTCGTTTTTCTTGCAGGATGAGGGAGATTTTAAAGTTTTCATTTAGTTATGGGTTGTTTTGGGGTAGATTTCAGCATATATCTACCTAGTAGTCTAGGGACATCTCTCAGGACGCCAGGACTCCAGATGGCTTCCCTGCAGTGGTTTTAGATAGTAATGACATCATTGAAGGTAGGACAAGGAGTTTGCAAAGACAGAACTCACACAGGAACTGCACTACTGTGCTTGCTCTCTGGACAACACAGACAGCAGGAATACCTGAGTGAGGGTCTTTAAGGAAAGTCTGGCTCTAAAGGGGAAGCAGGTAACTGTGTCTCTACACACCTGGAGATGCCCCTGCCTCCTCCCACCCCAAGTGGCCTCCTTTGGCGTCTCTGCTCTGATCCATGACACCCTCTTGCTGCTGCTCCCCAAGATGCTGAACTTCCAAGCTCATTCACCATTGGCCAGGGAAAGAGAAGAGGAAACGGTTTCAGGCATAGCAGGAAGGATAGCAAAAGGCCAATATGTCCTCATATATTCACCACCACCTCCCCACCCTGGAGAACTAAATGTGGTGCACAGTGAAACAGCCCTTGAACAACCGCCTCGTCCACAAATGCTTTGCCACCCGGTTTGAAAGACAAATGAACCTCACATCCGTTCTTTCTTGATCACCAGGTAACTGCCAAATTGCTGGCAAGAAGTAGCTCAAGCAAACTGCCTATTAATTTAATTGAACGTCGCTCAAGATGTAAAGTCCTAGGTTTCTTCATCAATTCTTCGAGATGGCTCTGGTTGGAGCCTCTCGAGGGTGGTAACTGTTGGGCAGTGGAAAACCAGCAGGGCAGCACACGCTGCCAGGAAGGAACACCTTTACTGATATGTATAATGCTCCAGCAAAATAAAGCCACTTCTTTTCTTTTTAAAATTAATTAATTATTTTTTTCTAAGACTGCAATTGGGGCATGCACACAGAGACCAAGGTAGTTTCCAGTGTATTCCAAAAGCTATTTTATTATTTCAGTTACACAAGGCTAAATCAAGGGGGAGAACACACAGAGACCAAAGTCACATTCTGTTCTCCGCCCTCATTCCATTTGTAGTATAATTAGTTTCTTTACACGCCCCCAAATAAAACATTTATTAAAAGTATGAAACAGAGGACTATCTAAGTATTAAAGATGGCCCATTAGGCAACTTACGTACTGATATAAAGCAATCTCCAAGATCCATTATTACAGGGGAAAAAAAAAATCAAGGTGCAGAACAATGAAAAAAGGAAGCTTTTTAAAAAATGAATACCAGTTACCATTTGTAAAAAAAAAAAAAAAAAAAAGACAGTATATTTATGTAAATATATGAGTATGTGTATATACATAAATGTATTGTGCATTTGCTTATACTGTCTATGCATCCTTTGGAAGGATACATAACAAATGAGGAATGGACGTTTCTTCCAGGAAGGGGATTAAAGTAGCTGGGAGTAGTTTGGAAATACATTGTTGTTTAACCTTAAATTAATATTAAATTAAAATCACAGAGGTAAGGCATGGTGGTTCACGCCTGTAATCCCAGCACTTTGGGAGGCTGAGGCGGGCGGACCACTTCAGGTCAAGAGTTTGAGACTAGCCTGGGCAACACGGTGAAACCCTATCTCTACTAAAAAAAATACAGAAAATTAGTCAGGCGTGGCTGAGGCACAAGAATTGCTTGAACCCAGGAGGTGGAGGTTGCAGTGAGCCAAGATTGTGCCACTGCACTCCAGCCTGGGCAATAGAGCAAGCCCTGTCATAAATAAATAAATACATAAATAAATAAATAAATAAATACATAAATAAATCAACCAACCAACAAACCAACCCAGAGGAGGGTTTTAAAATAAACACGAAAAAGTACATGGAAACAAAAATAAACATGGTCAAATGAAAATGTCAGTCCTTCTCAAAGGAGGGAGAGAGTGCTATGAACCTGGGGAATGGGCATGTTTGCAGTGGGTATGGTTAGGAACACATTAGGGAACCAATCTGTCAGAGGAGGCTGCAATCCTCTGCAGAGGCATGTCAGGCTGACAGCCTGTGGATGCTGCCTTTGGCAGGTGATGGGGACTCAGTCTGCTTTGCAGGGAAGGCTAGTGGCATGCTCAGAACTGTAGCAGGAAGGTGGGTTAGGCGGGGGGAGGTAGGGCTGGGGTCTGAGGATGGAGCTGCGGGAGGGTCTCCCCAAGGAAGAAGTGATGGTCAAAGGGCCTAACCATTTGTGAAACATACTAGGTGGATGTTGACTGACGGAATTTGAGGAGCTGAAAGAATATCCAGAGAAACTAACAACCAGAAGTTGGAAATGTGGGTCTTGGTCTTGCTCTTGATGGGGTGGTGGGGATAAGAGATTTGAGAAGAGTCTGCAGAGAATGAGAGGCAAAGACAGAGACAGGGAATGAGGTCTTCCAGGTGGGGGGAAAAGCACCAAAGAGAGAGAAAAAAGATGGAGTGGGTCTGGGGTAAGGGGTCAGGGGAAGAGGTGGGAAAAGGAAATGAGACAATGGAGAAGGTTGGAGTTTCCCCCTTGAAATCCATCTTACTTGGATTTCAAGATGAAAATCTCAATGTGAAGAAATTAAAGAAGAAAGAGGCTCAAAGGTGGAGTTTGGGGATACTGGTGACCTGCAAAGAAAGAATGCCTTGGGAAATGTAGGAAGAGGTCTTGGGAGGCATTAAAGCCAAGGTTATCTTTCTTTCCTGTGCATGGACTCATTCGGGACTTACTAAAATCCAGAATTCTAACCTTCCCTCCCACAAATCCTCGATTCTGCATTTATAAACAAGTGTCCCCACCCCCACCTGCTGCACCCTAGCAATTCCAACATAAGTGACCTCCCAGAACACATTTAGACAGGGTGGCTGTTGAGGAAGGAGAGGTGGCCTTCTTCACAAACATTCCAGGCTGGTGGTATTTTTGAGAAGGCAGCAGGGTTGAGGAAAGGCTTTGGGGGCTCGGGGCAAAGAGGCAAAAGCCAGAGGAAGGGAAGAGGTTGAAGAGGGTGAGAGAGGAGGTCCCAGAGGAGCAGAGGCCCAGAAGAGAAACGATCCCAGGGACCAACAAGATGGCGGCTGGTGTACTTCCTGGAGACAGGAGTGAGCAGAACATGGGGAGACACTGGTTTTGGGGCAGCTGCAAGCTGAGGGGCTCAGGGTGAGAAGCCCCGTTTTCTCAGTGAATAAGGAACTGAAGTCACCTGCTGAGAATGGACCAGGGTTTAGAAGACCTGAGAAGGCTTGAAAGATGAGGTATTCTGTAGAGAGGGAACGACGAAGCCAGCTCACGGAGGACATTTCGTGCTGCGGGGGATGCCCATTCCTTCTTCCTCCCCTGAGAAGCATCTGCATTTCAGCATCTGGCTTTTCATTCCTTGGTTAAGATTTCATTTTTCAAGAACATTTAAACCTTCTCCTGTCAATAAATTACCCTTGTCATCCCTTCGAGATTGCCCTGCTTCCCTTTGCTGCTCTCTGCTTTCTTCCACATACATCTTCATCTCTGGTGCGATCTTCCCTTCACTCCAGTTTCTCTTTTTCTATTTTGTTTTTATAATACTTTCAATCATTTTCCACTTGCCTCTCTCCCACGCCCCTGCGTTCATCAGGCCCTGGATTCTCTGGTCCCTCCCGTTGTCACTTGAAGCCTAGCCTTCCAGGTCCCGCTCAGTTCTCTCACACTTGCATTTTGGTTCCGGGTGTATGTCTGTCTTGCAAGCAGGACCAGCTACATAATTTGCAGGGTCCAGTGCAAAATAAAAATGTGGGGCCCTCTTGTTTAAAAAAAATGACTAAGAATTCCAAGATGGTGACAGTGGAGGATCAGACCTAACGTGGGGTCCTTCTGAACACAGGTTGCATGCCCACGAAGCCAACACCATGTGTAGTATTTGCTACTTTAATTTATTGTTTATTCACCATTCTCTGAACACTCTCGATATTGCCTCTGTCATCTCTAATGGCTACTTTAACCTGCTTGGTTTTACATAATATAGTCAACATACTATAGAAACCAAATGAAGACATTCCATTTTAATTACCCTGTCTTTTCACCATCTTTTTTGCTGATCTGGAAGAGTGACATGAGATTCTTTTCTAGGTCCAGCAGCCTACGGAAGTTGATGCTTGGGCGGTTTCTGCCATTCAAAGACCCTCAAAGTTATGCTGGGAGTTTCAAATGGCACTGAGACAGTTTCTCCCCTAAAAGAAGAGCTGGAGGAGAGGCGGGTCAAGTCACCCAGGCAATTATTTTATGGAACTCATCCAGTAAATACATACTACTCAGGGCGTAGCTCAGAGTAAGCATTCAGTGTGGCTGGTACTCTTTCCTTGCTTGGTTCCAGCTGAGAGCCAAGATGCTGATATAAAGCAGAAGCACCATTCTAGTTTAGTAAGTTTCCTTCTTGATTTGAGGGATCTCACCTTCCCTACAGGTCCGTGGTTCCACCTGGTTGACATTCACTTCTGGTAGCCTCGTCCCACTTCCTTTGCGCCCACACCCCAACCCAAGAGTTAGGCCACCTACTTGTTGGTTTGCCTCTGGTGCTGAATGACCATGTTTTTCTCGTGGATTGTTTCCAACAGGGCTGTTGCCAGAGATTTCAGGTCAGAAATGGACTGCGGAGTAGCTGGGAGGCTGCATCCATGATCCTCAGATAGCAGATCCTGAACTAGATAGGATACAAAATATATAACTCAGTTGTCATTCTTCTGAAACACTGGAATGCAAACCAATGTCAATCCTTCCTGGATAATGATATGTCCCCAGCTTCAAAATGCAACTGTGTTGTATTGAGAGTCCACCTCAAGTGTCAACACAACGAAGTAAAATCCAGTGTGAGGACTAAACAGAAAGGAGGAAGTTCTCAGGACTTTTATCAGCAATTTTTAAGAGGATAATAATATTTGCATTATTTGTCTAGTATTTTAAACACTTTCATAATGACTAACACGTAAAGTCTTAAAATTTGGGGAAAAGATACCCTACGGAATATTGATTTTTTCCATTTCATGGACAAAACAAGGTGCAAATGGGTTAAGAACACTGGCTGAAGGTCACACAGCCATGCAAATGACAATGACTCCTAGCTCCAAGCACCTTGCTTTGTGTCAGTTTCCCACCATGTGATACCCCTGGCAGGTGATAAGATAATTTAGGAGATTATTTAAAGTTCAAAATATGTTTTGTATTTTAGTAGCTATGCATTTGTTTGAAGGTATTATAGAAAAGGTTATATATGGCATAATAAACCAGTGATTTCACAGGTGCTACTACTTAGGATAAGGCCAAGTAAAATGAGTCACTTTAAAATCGACTTAAGAAAAACATTAAGCAAACAATAGCAAGGTGGCACAAAGAAATGGCAAAAAGATATATAACAGACTGCAAATAGCAAATATCTAAATATTGGGAAAGAGTACATTATGCAAAATCTAGCTGTTCTTGGATGTTTGTTACTCCACAAACTGCCAAATCCTATTCACGGCCAAGTTCAAAATGAAAGCCAAACAACATACACAGTTCCATGTAATTGAAGGATTGAGACCCACATGAAAGAGACCCACCCCTTGTGCATATCCTGCCCTGGATGAGTCTGCTAACAAGTCTCCAGTCATCTAGGGATGGCTCTGATAGAAAATTATTTTTTTGTCTAGTTTCTAAAGTGTATACTTTAAGAAAATTCCTAATTTGTTTGCATGCCACTTACAAATACATAAAGGGATATTACAGTGTGGTATACTAGCTTAGCACATAGTAGGACTGTCACCTCCTTTATCCCAAATTTCCTACTTCTGTGAATAGAATGTAAGATTTCCTTAGCTTCTTTGGCAATAAAACACTATTAAGGAATAATATGACAATACTATCTACTAAAACATCTGTGACTCTTTCACACATGACGCTGTTACAACTATTGTTTCCCCATTTATGCTTGGCTGGGCTTGAAATGGCTTAAATTGCTCTCAGAAACCACCAGCCCCATCCATAGCATGGCCCCAATCTACATCTGCAACTTCTGCTTCTTCTCCCACTGTTTTTTTCTACCCTAGGGTCACTCAGGTGCTCCTGCGTATGTGTCCTTCCTGACTCCGAATGGCTGTTCTTCAAGTCTGCTTTGGGTATTTCAAAAGCACTCTTCAAAGGGAGACAAACTAAGAGTTAAACAAAAGGACAACAACCACTGGTATTCCTATCAGACATTAAAAAAAAGAAACAATATAAATCTCACAAATTATATTTTCAAAAATGAAAAAAAAAAATCCCTGCTTTTTTCACTTAACAATATCATTCATGATTAATTTCCCTTAAAACATAAAATTGGATGGCTGCTTTGTTGTCTGTGTATAGATACAGAATTATTTGGCCGGGTGTGGTGGCTCACGCCTATAATCCTAGCACTCTGGGAGGCCGAGGTAGGCAGATTACTTGAGGTCAGGAGTTCAAGATCAGCCTGGCCAACATAGTGGAACCCCATCTCTACTAACAGCACAAAAATTAGCTGGGCGTGGTAGCACACGCCTGTAGTCCCAGCTACTCAGGAAGCTGAGGCAGGAGAATCACTTGAACCTGGGAGGCAGGGGTTGCAGTGAACCAAGATCGCGCCATTGCACTCCAGCCTGGGCAACAGAGGGAGACTGTCTCAAAAAAAAAAAAAAAAGATATAGAGTTATTTAACTACTGCTGGACATTTATTGTGTTTTCAATATTTTTTATTATAAGCAATGTATGAAGAATTGTAGCAAAATGTCTGCATATGTCGGTAATTGCTTTTTGTTGGTTCAAAGGGGGCCAGTTTAAGGCTTTCCGTAGCACGCTGCCATAGAGTCATAGATTTCGTTTACCAATACCAATAGATTCTTGATAGAATGCTTTTCATCACAGGTTTTCTGGAAAGGCTGTGCCAGATTGATGGTTCTGCCACAGTGTTTGAGTGTGGCTGGCATTCTCCACATCAACGATATCACTGGGTATCAACATTCAAAGATGGTTTGCTATATATGGTATCCAGAGCTAAACTTAGATGGGCTACTTCACATTTTTATAGAGTATTGTAGTTTTCTTTTGAAAAACAACTCTAGGGTGTTCTTTTCTGGTTGAGTGGAAAAAAGAAGTTGCTTGGAAAAGAGCCTTGGTGGTTATGTAGGCTGGAGACTCAGCACTTTTTTTTTAAGCCACTGTAGTGCTGATTAAGACTGCCATATGATAGTTGCTGGTCTGCACTATCAACAACCAAAAACTGGGCCAGCTGAGCATGTTCAACTTGAGACTTATGTTTAGCATTGAATTCTGAATATTAAGTGTCAGAAGCCAGTGTGCTGCTATTTATTCCCCTGGACTGTTCCTGGAAGATCATTATTTTTCATTGGAATCGACGAGAAGGAGGAACAAAATTGCAATCAATAAAAGCTTCTTCAAAAAAGGCACATGTTATGTGAGAAAATGATTTCAGCAGCTAGGAGACTTTTCTGATCCTAGAGGCCAGGAAAAGGGGAAATTCAAGGAGGTTGAAACGCATCCTTGGAGATGCTGAATTGGTGATTAGGAAAGGGAGAGCATTCTGGAAAGGCGAACACAATCTAGGGAAATATGCCCAAATGGGGTCTAGTCATTAGAAAAACCTCGAATGCAGTGGTTCCCAAAGTGGGGTCCCTGAACCAGCATCAGCATCACCTGGGAACTTTTTAGAAATACATAATTCTCAGGTCACACCCCAGACCTACTGAATCAGAAACTCTGGGGTGGAACCAGTAGTAATCTGTGTTTTAACAGTCCCTCCCGGCAACTCGGATGCACGTGGAAGTCAGGGAGCCACTGTTCTATGGATCGCCTTGGTTCCCAGACCACAAAAGCAGCATTCTGGATGGGATGTGGCCTTGCAGTTCTAGTATTTTACGCTCATGAGTGGTCTTTCCTGGAGCATGATATCCTACCTTGCTTTGCAGACAGGACTCCTGTCAGAGCACTGCTGCTGGATTTACCCTGGCCCTTCGAGTTTTTCCGTCTCTCCAGAGCATTCTAAAACAGGATTGGGAGAGAATAAAAACCCATCAGAAAAGTCAACAATGGAAAAGTACCTAACAGATGTCTCCTCTCATCGGCACACAAGAACCCCTTGCAAACTCCAAGTGCTAGCCTAATATTTAGAATTCCAAGTCTATGCCCAAGAGTTATAATTTTTACAGCCTGGTAAGAAGACTTTTTTTTTTTCCAACAAAGGTGGTGCATGGCAGAATGATAGCAATTACAGTCCCCTGTATACAAAAAGCACTTAATACATGTTAAATTAAATCAAATCTGAAGCAAGAATGCAGCCTAACATGTGAAGTCACTAGCAATGAAAATTCCTTCTGAATAGACATGAGATGGTGACTAGGTTTATTTTCATGCACCAACAGTGATTTCTGGAAGGAAAGGGAGCCATGATCAATTAGTGATGTCTGCCGTGGATACAGATTAAGGAAGTACATATGTGCCACCTACATGTCATTCCTAGAACAGACTTACATTAAAATTGATATGTAGCATCTAGTCAGTGCTTGGCACATAGAACTGAATAAATGTTGTTAAATGAATGCATCCACACATTTTTAAAAATTATGGATTAATTATACAACTTTAAAAGTTATATCCTTCTTTGGCTGAATGCATATAGATAGACTGGTATAATGTGTGGCCCCCACAAAATGGAAAGGAAGAACAGCATGGAGACTTGTGAGAACAAATGCTAATGTCAAAAGCCAGGAAAATAAGGTTCTTCCAAGTATCTAGATGGCTGTAAAACTTCACCCTCAGGAAGAGAAATCAATCTATTTTCCAAGCAGAGAAACCCAGGAGATTTTTCTAATTATAACACTTACAACTAACATCTGCAGAAATAGATATTATCAAACTAATGGTGCTGGAATCAGACTAAATAACAGTGGGGAGAATTTAAACATTCTGTCCTTGCAGTGTGACGTGAACATTATGGTTTAGACTGTGCCTTCCCAATCTTTGTTTCTTCATCACTTGGAAACCATTTTCTTATGGGTGATTATGAGAGAAATGGCATCTGATGAGTGAACATGTTATAGAGAAAACGGGTAAGAAACCTAATTGCAAATAGACCAAGGCTGTGCAATATACAAGTCCAGATTCTAGTGGAGAGGCTACACCAGGCACTAAAACACATCCTGGGTGGGCATGCTTTGCTCAGATAACAGCCGCAGAAAGAGCTCTTGTGAAAAGCTGCTTTGGTTTTTTGTTTTGGAGTCTTAGTTTTTACTGGTTACCCAGTTAAAGCTCTTATTAGACTCTATCTGGGATGGCAGGCAAGTACTAAAATATCTTTGGCACATAAAAGGGAATTAAAATAGAATGACATTTAGATGCACAATAGTGAATCACCATCATTGTCATCATGATTTTGCTACCTTGTATTTGGCAATGTTTGATTTCAAGAGGTTGACCTCTTCATGGAGTTGCTTTAATCTCTCTTGAAGGTACCTGGAAAAGAATATATAAAACTAGGAAGTGTTTAAGGGCTAAATAAAAAACACACACTGAAGTATAAGAGGAAAAAACAAAAATCACTTGCCAGAAGAGCTATCTTTTACACATAACACCTTGCCTGCTCACCAGAAAGCAGAAACACATGCATGTTTGTGACCTTTTCTTAAATGAATGCAATCAAGGTCAAACATGCCCAAATCACACACACTCCACTTTAAAACAGCCCTCACAGAGATCCCCTAAGGGATATCAACACAGTTTTCACATAATTCTCATTAAGACGATTCCACTGGGAAGAGAGGCAGGAAGAGGCGACACCAGACATAACATTAAGTTAGACACACACATACTGTAATTTGCCTCAGGGAAAAGAAATAGCTAAGGGAATTTCTCAATTTATTTTCTTATTCTTTTCTTTCTCCTTGATGGCAATAACAAGCAACTCTTATGGGTTCCTCGCCCTTCTCAACCTACCAAGGAAGGTGTAGGGAAAGAGAAGGGAGACGTGTGCAGCTGTGCAGGTGTGGGCTGTTTTCCTTTTTCACTTTTACAACTAATACATGGTATTGATGTCATCATTTTGAGGGAGTAAGTTTCTTTTCACTTGTAAGGCAATTTTTTCCAAAGTAAACAGGGCTGCAAATAACTCCCAGCCTGCAGGCCTGTACAGAGCTAGCCGTCCTCCCACACACAGGCCTGGGCCTGGCCACTTGCCTGTTCTCCATACACAGGGCATCCACGTCAATGATGCGGTTCTCATGCCCACTCAGGATATGGTTCAGCTCCTGGTTGAGCCTCTCCACTTTGTCCTGGTAGGAGGACCGTTCTTCTTTAACGTCCTGAAGCTCGTCCACAGAAGCCTGCAGGTCGTGCTCCAGAGACTCAATCTAAAACCACAGGGAGCACTCTTACCCAAGATGTTCCTCAGGCACTGGATTTATGGCCAGAGATGGAGTCTCCCACTTGGTTGACTGATTTTTAAAGAGTTTATTAACACTACCCGCTTGCCCTAAAACCATAAGCGCCACACACTGAAATACAATAACAGCTAAAAGTGAGGGATGACTTCCTGCCAGACACTTATTATATCTAAGATAGGAGAGGTGCAGCAGCTTGGAAAACCAGAACTGAACCCTCGACTACTTCAGGATGCCCTGCAGCTCCCAGTGTCTTACAAATCCATACTTTTTCAAATCCACTCTAGACCCAGAAATCTTGTTCTGCTCTTCAGTTAGTAAGAGGAAGAAAATGAACTTTAGGTTCTCTTAGATGTTACCTAACTAGGGTTGAGATTTTGCACTTGTTGAGATTTTGCCTAAGAGGCATTGCTCAGCATTTTAGCAGAAACTTGCAAAGTAAGGCCAAGTTGGTCATGTGTTGTTCTCTCCCTGTCTGTCCTGGGTAGGAGGAAAGTTTCTTGTTGTGTTCAGAACAATGGTACTCAATGGCAGGGAGCAGATCTGCCTGCTGGAGGCCAGAAACCCAAGAGTCAGCTTGGGACCCTAGTGCAGTGCCAAGGAAGTAAAAGCATTCAACGTGCATCCCAGCCACCCCACCCTCTGAGAAACGGGGGACACGGCCCACTCTTGTTTGTGTTGTGTCCAGCCGTGTAAACGCATCCCCGACTCCGAAGAGATGTTAGTGAGAACCTGTTCCTTAGCTCTCTCCAGCTGCTGCACCAAGTCTTCACGTTCATGGGCTGCAAAGTGTCGCACGCCGATTTCTTCGTCTCCGAGCCGTTGTTTGGCAATCGTCATCCTCAACAGCTGCATTTTCCATTGGTAGAAAAGAAAAAGGGACAGAGAGTAAACAGATCCAAATAAAAACCAAAGGACACTAAGAAACTTTTGGAAGATAAGATACTTTCAAGAAATACTGGAGAAAGCACAAAACAAAGAAATTACTTGCCAGTATCATCAATGTTTTTAAAAATTAAAAATATAGATTGTAGTGTACACATGTGTACACTGTTTAAGGCCTGGACACGCTAAGCTGGATGTCTGGTGGAGCACTGCTACTGGGAAGAAACAAACTCTGGTTCCCATTAAAATTTAGCAAAGATTCAAAAATAATAACCCAATGCTGGAAGATTCTGCTGAGATGGGCACACTCCCACACTCATAACAATGAGGTGACATTATCAAGAGCCTTAAAAGTGTCCCTACCCAATGATCCAGTAACTCTACTTTTGAAAATCTGGGCCAAGAATAATTCCAGGCTGCTAACTTTAGGAAAAAATGAAAGAGTAGATTGCACTGTTATTTAAAGAGTTAAAAAAAAACACACAAAAAAACTAGAAACAATGTCTAACAATAGTGGAATGTTTAGCAAACTACAGTGCAACCAACCAAGTGGCTAATTTGCAGCTGTCTGAAATGAGGCTTATGCGAACTGGGTAACACCAGAGAACATGTCTATGATGCCACGTTAAGTGGGGGGAAAAAGAATACTAATGCTTCTATGCAGTATGACTAAAATTATACTAAGAACTCCTCTCTCTCTCTCTCTCTCTCTCTCTCACACACACACACACACACACACACACACACACAGAATGACCAAATGCACCCAAATATTCAAAATGTATATATTTGGCCGGGCGCGGTGGCTCAAGCCTGTAAACCCAGCACTTTGGGAGGCCGAGGCGGGCAGATCACGTGGTCAGGAGATTGAGACCATCCTGGCTAACACGGTGAAATCCCATCTCTACTAAAAAATACAAAAAACTAGCCAGGCGAGGTGGTGGGCGCCTGTAGTCCCAGCTACTCGGGAGGCTGAGGCAGGAGAATGGTGTAAACCCGAGAGGCAGAGCTTGCAGTGAGCTGAGATCCGGCCACTGCACTCCAGCCCGGGTGACTCCGTCTCAAAAAAAAAAAGAGCGAGACTCCGTCTCAAAAAAAAAAAGAAAAAAAATGTATATATTTTGGTGATGGTGAGACTGCTGCTATCTGCTTTTTACTTTCTAACTTTTAAAATATTCATTCACTGCATGAATTTCATAATATGCCTTTATTTATGTTTTAAAATCCTCAGGAATAAAATTGCAGTCTTCCAAAACATAATTTTCCAAAAGATCCCTGCAGAACCCATAGCTTTCCTGGACTCCAGAGCCAAGATCCACCTGCAGCTCCAAACCTTCTAGGTGGGGCTGCAATGGAAACTGTGTGAGAGGCCCACGAAGACCCCAATGGTCTCAGAGCATCCCCTACCTACCCATCACAACTCCAAGGATCGCCACTGAAGAGTGACTTTCAAAAGTTATGGCAGCGCTTTCCAATGTTTCTTTTATGGAGGTTTTAATCTGATTCCACGCCTCCCCATAGGGCAGATGTGGATGGGTTTCATATATGAACAGGAGCCTGAGGACAGTTTTTCACTGTCACACCGATCCGACCCAGGCAGGAGTGCCCGCGGGGGGCATGCTTTTCCTTGTTCCTGCATGAATCTTAAGGGATTCATTGCCAGTCGAGAAAATGGCTTAATTTTCAGAGTCTCTGAAGGATTTATGGGCAGGTGAGAGATAGGAAGTTAATTTAAGCCAAGGAAGAATATTAACTAAATTGAAATAATAAATAATAGCAAGGAACTTTGAAAGAAATGATGACTAAAGAAAAGTAAAGTACATTTTCAAATGACACTTACTTTGGGTCCCTATTTGAAAACTACTCAGTTGAACTCAACAAATATTTGCTGTGTCCCTACCAAGAGCAAAAGCACCATTGGGACCGGGTGGACAGTGTCCCAGGCAGGTGGAACAGACCGTGCAAAGGCAGGCAGAAGATGCAGGACGCTTAGATGTGCAGATGGCTGCACTTCCTGGAATCTGGTTACAAGCGATCCTCATTATCCATGGATTCTGTATTTGTGAATCTGCCTACTTGCTGAAATTTATTTTTAACCCCAAAATCAATATTTGCAGTGCTTTCATGGTCACTGTCAGACACGCAGAGAGTGGCAAAAAATTACAGTCGCCCGACACACACGTTCCCATGGAGGTCAAACAAGGCCACATTCTGCCTTCTTGTTTCAGCCCTTGGACTGTAGACAAACGTCCTTTTCATGATCTAGTGAGTGCCACCACATTTGTCACATTTTTGTGCTTTTCATTGGTGACTGTGCTGTTTCAAGTGGCCCCCACGCATGGTGCCGAAGGGCTGGACGTGCTTGCACTTAAGTGTTATCAGTGCAAGAAGGCTGTGAAGTGCCTGATGGAGACAATATGTGTGTTACAGAAGCTTCCTCCAGGCATGAGTGACAGTGCTGTTGAACTCAGTTCAATGTTCATGAATTAACTGTATATGTCAAATAAGGTGATGTTAAACACAGACACACATAAAACAAGGTTATGACTGATCAGTTGACAAAAATGTTGTGACCGGAGGCTTACAGGAACCTAACCTTGCATTTCTCCTAGGAGCAATGGTTCGGTATTCACTAATCCAGTAGTTGGCAGTGACTTCACAGAACAAATTTGTAGCAAAACTGGTAATTCCACTGAAAGCTGATATACAAAAACTCTATTACATCACACAACTCTTGGCTTGGGACATCAGAATCCCAAAAGTGGATACACAGGAAGGCAAACAGCAAGACAAATAAAAAAAAAAGTCTATCAGATCTGAGGGTCTAGAAACAAGACAACTCCTGGCTTTCAGTACAAGGCCAACAGGAGGCTCAGGTCCTGTCTTTGAAAGCAGGGTATTTTTCTAGGTCTATGAAAAGCCATACTGACAGCCTGAACTTTAAGTAATAAAACACTGTGGTTTTCTATTCCCAATATGCTTCACTGAGCACTTAATTTAGAATTGCACAATTATGTTTGCTTAATGCCAATTAATTATTAAACATGTTTATTGAGGTCTGACAGCCATATAAGAGAGTCATCGTTTATATATTGGATGCCTGTTAAGCTTCAATAAATACGTTAACAATCATTTGGTGTTTAATGTGCATACAATATCGGCTGTTAAATCTCAGGACTGGACTGGTTGAAACACTTATTTTTAAAAGTGAGGCCCAAGTTGGTAATAGCTGGATCATTAGTTGGGTCTGAAGCTCAAGTGCAGTCAGCTGAGGAGGTCTAAGAAGTCACTGCAGGGGAGACAGCAGAGCCCCAGGCAGAAGGCTCCTGCCTTCCCAGCTGACAGCTGGTGTGCGCTGGAGTTGGCCCACCTAGGGCCTGCATCCTGGTGCCACAGACTGTGAGCTGTGCAACCTCAGGACCTTGTCTGAATTTCTTGGAGTGTCAGTATCCTCCTCTGTAAAAACACAGCAGTAAAAGTGTAGCCTCAGAGAAGTGCTGTAGGCATGAAGTGAGAGAGCAGGGTTGAGTTAAATGAACACTGAACTCAGGGGAGTTCAAATACTCATATATATGAGTTTGGGGATTAAATAGAAGAGGGAAGAGAGGATGAGAGAGAAATAAACCAAAACATTGGGTGATTCTCCCAATTCCTATGCTCAATATCCCTGCTGGAGAGTGAGGGGGAGAGGGTGACTGATAATATATTTATGCAAAGTCACACTGTTCTATTTTTACATAATACCACTATTCCGAAGCATACATACACCATGAAAGTTTTGGACAATTTCAAAGGACAATCGGGGGAATTTTGGCTACATACAAGTTTCTGCCTCTTACGTGCTGACTTCAGAACTTAACCCTAAGTAAGAAAAGATGGGACTTCTCTTCAATACTTAGCATAGGCCCTGGAGTATATACTGTGTTTAATAAATAATAAATGTTAGGGGCTCTTATGATTATTGTAATTATCATCATCCTCCTCCTCCATGTATGTTTCCCCACACAGAAGCCCACTAGGCAAGTCCGACCTTTCCTCTAAGCTGGAGAAGGCAGAGCTCCCGAGCCAACCTTATCTGTGTAGTGCAGGCAAATGATGTTGATTTTCCACCTTGGAAAATGGCTATGAAGCAACTGCTCAGGGCACTTAATTTCCTCAAACAGCGCCATCAAAACTGCACAGCCAGCCTCCCTGTGCCAACCCACAAAGTGGATCAGTGCCTTGCACAGCACCCGCGCCGCCACCAATAGACACATTCAGTTGCTGATTTAGATAGAAATAAATGTTTATGAATGAATTATGGGTGTGAGTCGTCAGCTTGCGGATGAGGCGCAGCTGCAGCTGGGAAGTGGCTGAGGGACATGGCTGCAAAACAATGTGGTAAAATGGCTTCTGGGTGCCCTGCCCCCAACTCTGCCAAGAGCCTGCTCAATCCGTCCTCCATGAAGCCTGCCCAGGCCTTCCAAGTCGGAATGACTTGCTTCTTCCTTGATCTCTTCTCAGCCTCCGTCTCCCACAGTCCTCAACATTCTCTACCTCATCCTATTTTCATTTACCTGAATCTGTTTTAACCAACAGTGAGAGGCAGCCAGGTGCAGGAGCAGCTATTCTCTGGGTATTATCTACATTCAGATCCAGCTTCTACTAATCCTAGCTATGTGCCCTTGGCAAGCTCTCTAATGCTGGGGGGCTACATGTGATTTGGTTTTTTTAAAAAAAAAAAAAAAAAAGGATAAAATCTATCTTGTAGGCAGGACAGCCATGTATGGCTGCCCAGGCTGTGCACTGCACAACTCCATCTGTGGAGATCACATTACCACAAGGGGAAGATACAATGCAATGATCACTGTCTATGTAACTTCATGAGCTTTCAAAGTGCAATCCCCAGTTTCAGTTGGTATAGGTACAGTTCTTATACAGTGGTTGTCAATTTGCCAGAGCTATTGAGAGGGTCAAACGAAAGA